CTCTCTCTCTCTCTCTCTCTCTCTCTCTCTCCACCTTGACCTGACCTCTTCCCTTGCTCCGTAACCCACCCAACCTCTGCCCTCCCTCCGCCCGACGTTTCCCCGCCGTCTTTCCCCTTCCTCCCGCCCTCCTTCCACTTCCTCCTCTTCCTCTTCACGCTTTTTCCCATGCTCGTCTCCCCCTTACCTCTTCCCTTCCTCCATGCATCACTGAACCTCTAAACTATGTTCTGCTTTCTGTCCTCCCTTCGCCCTACTTCTCATTGCCGCCTCCCTTTTCTCCCGGCCTCCTCTGGACCTTCTCGTAAACCCCCCTCTTCCCTTCCTCGCCTGGCCACCTGACTCCCCTTCCTTCGACCAATCTCCGTCTGACCTCCTTCCCTCTATGTTCTCCGTCCTACTCCTTCCTCCGCCCGATTTGCACTGACCTCCTCCTTCCCCCAATCTCCTTCTCCCCTTCCTTCCTTGGCCCGATCTCCACCTGACCTCCTGCTTCCGCCCTACTCTCTGCCACCTTTCCCCTCCCTACAGGCCGCCTCCGCACCTTCTCTTCAACCTCCCTCTGGCCTCCGTCCGCCTGGCCGCCTCATTCCCCTTCGCTTGCCCCCTTCGTTCGCCTGATCTCTGTCTGACCTCCTCCTTTCCTCGATCTCCTCCCTCCCCTTCCTTCCTAAGCCCGATCAACACCTGACCTCCTATCCCGTTCCTCCCTCCGTCCTACTCCCTACCTCCCCCTTCCTCCCTCTCGACCGACCGCCCTTCCTTCGTAACGCCCGACGTAAGAAATACTTCTTTTCCTTTACCGGTGGACATATGGTGGCAGACGATGGACGTATGGATGTATGGTGGCGTATGGACTATGGACGTATGGTGGCAGACTATGGACGTATGGTGGCGTATGGACGTATGGACGTATGGAGCAGGCAGCCATAGCCCAGTTGCGTTGTTGTATGCTGGATGCGGCACATGGTGGTTCTTGGGTGCATGTGGCATCTGTGAGTTGGGGATCGAGGTTGTGAGTGATACGAGAGACATACCTGGTGCTTGAGGCGAACGACATTAACCGAGATCTGCTCGTACTTCGGGGAGCCGTTGACGGAGCGACATTGTAGATAGGCTATATAGGATCTGCCATCTGTAGTCTGATGTCAGGATCGCGTCAGTAGCCTTTTGGGCCTCCTGCGGATCATGCCACCTGTCTTCCACCAACTTGAGGAAGTCATCCAATTTCTGGGTGACCGCCCAAGCGAGAAAGTCATGATCGTACCCTTGGAGCTGCACTAAACCACTCAACCATCTTGCTGCACCCCCCTCTAGATAGGAGGCAGCCACAGACACTTCCTCGTGCGGCAAGGTAAGTTTGCACTTAACATAGACTGGCACTGCCCTCGACCATGTGTCGAGGTCTTTGCCCCTCTTATCCCCTGTGAAGGGTTTAGGAGCAGCAATGGTCGTCTTTGGAACCCACTGACTTTGTCCTGGTATCTGCACCATTCCGGACTGTGGACCCTG